GCCTCCCAAGTAGCTGGGACCACAGGCGCCCGCCACAACGCCCGGCTATTTTTTGGTTGCAGCCATCGTTGTTTTGGCGGGTCCGGGCTGGGGATTCGAACCCGCCACCTTAGGTGTACGTGGCCGGCGCCTTAGCTGGTTGAGCTATAGGTGTCGAGCCTCCAATTCTTTTTAAAACTGAGCATTGTGGCTCAGCGCCTGTGGCTCAAGTGGCTAAGGTGCCAGCCACATACACCTAAGGTGGCGGGTTCGAATCCAGCCCCAGCCTGCCAAAAACAACGGCTGCAACCAAAAAAATAGCCAGGCATTGTGGCGGGCGTCTGAGGAAACTCACTTGAGCCCAGGAGTTGGAGGTTGCTATGAGTTGTGATGCCATGACACTCTACCAGGGGGATAGCTTGAGGCTCTGTCTCAAAACAAAACAAAACAAAACTGAGCATTGTGATAGATATCATTAAAATAAAAGGGTTGAAAAACTGTTCTCCACTTGTTTCCACTGACCGATAACTAATGGCAAAGGTCTTTCTCATTCCCTTGGTGTGATGTTCCTGGTATGGCAGCTCTTCTCCATTCCCCTCCTTTCCTCTCCAGAAAGCACACTGGAAGGCTGCTGAGTGATGCCACTGTTAGGACAACCTTGGGTCCAGCCCAACAGGTAATCAGTCATACCACTGGCAACTTAAGACTGTTCTTATATCTCACACCTGAGCAAGACACACTTTTGTGTCAACACCGTTTCTAAGAATCTCTCACTGGCTTAGTTCCTTACCATTAGTCAGGCCCAAGATTCTTACTTACATTCAGTTTTATATATTTATTTGACTTATTTACATAACCAGTAGAAAGGTAATTTTAAAAATATTTATTACATTCACTTCTAAAAATGATAGAAAATTAAAATTGGTACAAATAATTAACTTTGGAAAAGCATATTTATCCTTTCACACCAGAGAAAAGTCTTATGCAATGCCAGAAATAGAAATACCTAAGCTTTTGATGACAAAGGGTAAATACTGAGGACATAAGGAGCCCTTGGAAATTTTTAGTTTTCTTCTCTGCCAGTGTTTATTTTTGAGTAAATCCCAGTCCAGTGGAAAGAGTTCTGAACACAAAAGGCACCTAGAGTAAAAATTAGATCTTAACTAATTAAAAACAGCTACATGTGTTTATACCAAGGAAAAAGATCTTATCAATGCAACTCTCCTGCAAGGTACAGATAATATAAATGCAAATGGCATCACAACTAAAGTCTATAGATTTACCTGAATCTGGTATGTAGACTGGATAACGACAATCACTTTTGTTTCTACAAACTTGTAGATGTTTTATAATTTAAATCAGCATGAATACTATCTTTATAATCATAGGAGGGGGCTCTCCAATTATTGACCCATACTCCAGATTTGTTTTGTTGCATTTGCTCTTAAAATGCATTGTTGTATATTTTATTCATGGATATGTTAAAAATTCCCATTGTTTTTCAAGAATCTAGCAAAACCTCGAACTGCTAGTTTAATCCAAAATCCTTCATTATCATAACCAAGCCAGTAAAACTAACACTTTACCATGACTTAAGCACCTGAAGTATATTCTGACCAATTTATATTTTGTGAGCTAAAATTGGGATCCTCAAAATTTGTGTATGTGTACAAATATTGCAAATTATTTAAGCTAATAAAAAACTTAAAAAAATACAAATAATCTTTCACTACAAAGATCCAAAATCGACAGACAGGTCTGTACTAAGAAAAAAATGAATAGGAAGCCAGTAAGCAAACACTTGTCTGCATTTTCTGATCTGTGGACCAGGTACTAGTCAGCGGAGCCAGGTTGTATTCAGCTGGGTCTGGTTCTTGATGCTGGTATCCATTTTTAGCACTTCTCGAATGGCCATGGTAGCATAAGTAGAAGGAGGAAGAGAAAAATCCATTTTCAGAGCTCTGTATTTGCCTTCTGCCAGGCAAGAAAGAAGAGAATGGTCACAAAATGAAGGCAGCTGCAGGACAGACTGGAGAGAGTCATATAATCTCTATACAAATACAAAGAACTGTGCTCTTTTCTTTAGGTTCCACCTCCCAAGGGGCCTCAGAGAATGCAACCATGGAAATAAGAGATCAGTGTGTGTACAATCAGCTGAATGGTTATGGTAATTCTATCCTGGAACCTTCAGAAAAGGATAGGTGACAGAAGAGCATGAGAGACAAATGCATGTAAGTTTAAAAAAAAAGAGGGCATGGGGAAAACAAAAAAAAAGTAAGAAGAATCTGACAATAAGAATGGAAATTAAAATTTTTAGACTTTCTTCTGAATTTCTGCTCAATTTTGTTAACTCTGTGGGGGATGGGGAGGAAATATTAAATCACCTAATATCATAATTATCTATAACATTCATTCACTTTCTGTTATTTTAGTTACTGATCTTCAGCTATAATCATGAAAGTAAGGTTTAAAAACATAAAACAGAAATCATAGAGTGGGTGGGTGATAGTGGTGATTATCAGAGCAGTTTTTTTTTTTTTGAGACAGAGCCTCAAGCTGTCCCCCTGGGTAGAGAGCCATGGCTTCACCGCTCACAGAACCTTCAACTCCTGGGCTCAAGCGAGTCCCAAGTAGCCGGGACCACAAGCGCCCTCCACAACACCCGGCTATCCTTTGGTTGCAGCCATTGCTGTTGTCTGGTGGGCCCGGGCTGGATTCGAACCCGCCACCCTAGGTGCATGTGGCTGGCGCCCCAGCCGCCTGAGCCACAGGCCCCAAGCCATCAGAGCAGTTTTTAAAAAATTTGTTATTTTTGTATGAGAACACATTTCATAGTTGACACAGAGCTCATGACTGAGTAAACTTACCAGAAGCAAAAACTGGTGGTGGTTTCCCTTCTAGATTGTCTAAATCTGTGTTGAAAAGTGGAATTTTGGGATCATCATATGCAACAACTTCCCTTCAAAACATAAAATAAAAGGTACTAAGTCAGTCATTACCATTTGTTTAGTAGGAAAAACACAAAGGTTGGATACAGAGGCTCAAAGCTATAATCCCAGCACTTTGGGAGGCTGAGGTAGGAGGATCACTTGAGGCCAAGATTTCAAGATTAAGCCTGGGCAACACAGCAAGATCCCTTCTCTACAAAACATACAAAATTTAGGTGGGCATGGTGCCACACAGCTATTACAGTCTTAGCTACTGGGGAGGCTGAGGCACGAGGACTGCTTGAGTCTAGGAGTTGGAGGTTGCTGTGAACTATGAGGATTGTGCTACATTACAGGCTTGGCAACAGAGTGAGACCCCTTCCCTCCAGACCTCCCTTTTCAGAAAAATGACATAGGTCTATTGTAAATAATTATAGTAGGACTTTCCAAAAACAGAACAAGTCCAGATTTTTTTCTTTTTTTTAAGATAGAGTTTCACTCTGTCAACCTGGGTAGAGTATCATGGCATCATAGCTTTCAGCATCCTCAAACTCTTGGGCTCAAGTGATCCTCTTGTCTCAGCTGGGACTACAGGTGTCTGCCACAATGCCCAGCTAGTTTTTCTATTTTTGTAGTAGAGGTGGGACCTCATTCTTGCTCAGGCTGGTCTTTAATTCCTAAGCTCAGGCACCAACTACCTCGGCTTCCTGGAGTGCTAGGATTATAGGTATAAATCGCTGAGCCTGGTCCCAGGGCCAGATTTTATTTTATTTTATTTTTTTAGAGACGAAGTCTTACTTTGTTGCCCTTGGTAGAGTGCTGTGGTGTCATAGCTCTCCAGCTCTTGGGCTTAGGTGATTCTCTTGCCTCAGCCTCCCTAGTAGCTGGGACTACAGGTGCCTGCCACAACACCTGGCTATTTTTTTTATTGCAGTTTGGCCATGGCCGGGTTTGAACCCACCACCCTTGGTCTATGGGGCTGGCGCCCTACTCATTGAGCCAAGACACCACTGTGGGGCCAGATTTTATATATAAGTTTTGCCTTTATATTATTAGATAGCAAGATCACACATAATGCTATCCTATGTAAAAGTCATAAAATGCTTCCCAAGGATAGAATGTCTTTATATAAAGTTGGTAAATAGTAACCTTCACTTGTACAGCAATAATCAAATTAATCACAGCATTTACATTTTATCCAGAGTGGGAAAGACAAAGTCCAACTGTGTAGACCTCTTGCCCACAATCCCAAGAAGAGGGAAGAGAGTGAAAAGAAGAGAAGAAGAGAAAGGGACAGAAAGAGAATTTCCTGGCAATGGGCAACCAATTCAGGATTTTACTTTTTAATTATCAAATAAATTTTTAGACAATATTGAATATTAAAATACTTTTAAAAATAAAATATTTTTAAATAAATTAACACAGATTACCTTTTTTCTCTTTAGAAACAATATATTAAAACAACTGTATTAGTATTAGGAATTCACAGTTAATACTGAGTAAGGTAACTTGCAAATCTCTAAGCAAATCTCAAGTTTTTGAGAAATGAAGAAAAAGTTCATTCTA